TGTGTGTGTGTGTGTGTGTGTGTGTGTGTGTGTGTGTGTGTGTGTGTTTTCAGGCTACATATCAACACACTATCCAGCCTCCCTCAGCCATTTTGGCACCTTTCCTTTCCTTCTCTCCCTCTGGGCTTCATCGTTTCTCCTTGATGTGAATGTAACATGGATGTGTCTCCCTCTTCTTCTTCATCTCTCTCTCTTTCCCTCTTCTCACTCAGGGTCTCTCCATTTTTTCTGCCGTTATGCAAGCAGGAGAGCGGTTTAATAATTCAGCGGCATCTTTTTTTATACTCGCAGGCTTTCCTTAACACCACATCGACTTGCGATATTGACTCACACACACTCTCGTAATAACACCCACAATGTCACGCAATCCCCCCCCCCCCCCCCCCACTTGTTTCACTCCATCCCAGAAAAAAGAAAACACAACTTTCCTCTTTTTGTTCAGTTTATTTGGCAAATTATTCTTCACTTGTTTTTTTGCAGTCTTTTTTTTGTTGTCTTTCTTTCTCTTTGCATTAATTTACAATTATTAAAAATAAATCTTTCTCTTCAAGGTTTTACATTCGACATTTACAAGTGCAATGTGTAACATGTCCATCTTATAAAGTGCATTTTGTACTTTTTATCGTAACCGACTGTTTCACCACACGGACTCGAGAGGAGAAATGAAAGAAAATACAGTAAAATAATGAAAACAAAACGACATGATTCAAGGACACCGTATCAGCTCTGTGACATCACAGTATCATTACCCAATAACCGCCTCACCCTGAGGGCCCGGTGATGCTCGTTCACATGTGCTGCTTCCTCATCCAGACCGACAACATCAATGCATAAAACAATGTTTGTTTTCTATGAAGGCCATACTCGGTCCAATAGAAAATTAGCTCTGTAATGGTTTTTTTCTTCTTCTTCTGATTGACAATCTCTGCTTGCCTGAAGTGTTGCCAGATTGTAGGTCACAGAGGGAGAACGTTAGCCTAGCCTAGCCATGACGGTCGAGTGTGCTGCACTCATCCACCAATCCCTGCTTTTAAGAAAGAAACCCTTTGTGTTAATGCTTGTGCTCCGGAGAAACGAATCAAAAAAGAGAGAGAGACTCTGATGAGAGGTGTAAAAATAGAAGATGAGCGTGTGCTCCTGCAAAGAAGATGAGACGGGAAGGAAGGAACTCGACAGGGAAAGAGAAAAGAGGGCGAAGGGTTCGATTTCTACTTTCTTTACTACCTCGCTCCCCTCCTTCTCTTTTTTTCCTGCTGTTCTTTTTTCGCTTTTGCCTTTTATCTGCTTTCAGGGTAACTATTTTTAGACGGAGCCCGACCGACTCGCTTCCTGCAGGCCCGACGATAGCAAAATGTTAGACGAGAGAAAGAGGGCGGGGGAGGGGGGATGAAGGTGAAGAGAGTGGCAGAAGATGGACGGAGGGAATGGTGTAAAAAGAACCTCGAGGAAAAGTGGAAAAATGAAGGGATGCGCTTGAAACTGTTGGAGGAACGAAATGAGTGAGGATGAGTGGGAGGCAGAAACGATGGGGGGGAAGCTGGTGAGAGGAAGAAGAAGAAGAAGAGGGGAGGGATGTCTTTGAAACGACCTGCTCTCTGAGACACGACTCAGACAAAGTGACGTCACTGGAAACCTGACTCTGTGACGTACAACACCGTCTCTCTCTCTCTCTCGTCTTTTTCTGGAAAAAGTGTCGGGATTACTGTGATTTCAGTCTGACGTCACAGAAGAACAGATGGACTTCTTAATGGTGATATTGGTCTTTTTTTGTGATAAATAACATCAAGGTTAAATACTTCTGCACAACCTCTTCTTCCATCTTTATCCCGCTGCTTAGAGTTTCTGTCTCTGACCGTGTTGAGCTTCTTGTTGTTTACAGATGTACTAACTCCACAGTGAGAGTCGCCCCTCTGATAAACGTGCATGTACACAAAGATAAACAAATAAATAAGACACTAGATAGTCGAAAAAATATGGCACTTTTTCAGCGTATCCGACACACAACTTCTTCTCTTTTTCTTTTTTTTTCAGCCCCACCAAAAAGAAAGTTTTGACATTTGTTTATAGGAAGAACACAGAAGAAGAGGAAGAAACACACACGCTCACAACAAACTCATGCTCACAGCAGCGACCATGACTCGTAACTCATGCCCTGATGAACATTACAAAAATATACATTTCTGTACAGCATTTGCATAATAAAAATAACACACACACACACACACTTGTACAGTTATTTCTTTTTCTTTTCTGTTTTCCCGTCTTTTAAATTGAATTATAGTCCTGTATAGCGGCTGACAAAACCATTCCGCGTGTGTGTGTTTACAGTGAGAGTTGGTTGAGTTATGGTTCATTACAATTGGCTATGATCCCGGGGGGACAACACACACACACACACTTACACACACACACACACAGTGAGTGGTCGCTCCACTCCTGCCCCAGGAATGGTTGACTGAACGGTGGCATATTCACAGATGAGTTGTTGTTAATTGTTATAAACCATCACTAGATGGACAGGCCAGATGGGATGGTGATAAAAATTACAGCTGAGCGACGCAGGATTCAACACGTCAGTCAGCGCACTCTGAGAAACGGCTGATTCGTGGTTTTTACTTTGGGGCTCGTGATTCCCTCCAGACTTGGATCAAATAGTTAGATTTACCCTGAAGAAAACGCCAGACAGTTGACATTTTTACTGCCAAAGGACAAAAAAATACCCACCAAAATGGCCCAAAACATAAACAACAAAGTGTGTTCTCAACCGACAGGAATATATTATCAATTGATTAAAGTAAAAATAGAAACTGACTCCATCTTAAAGGCCAATTCCAACACATTATCTCTCCCAACTCGTCAAATACTTGAAACCATGACGCTCTAGGTTCCCCTTTAGCTTGACTTTTGGGGCATTTCAGTTTCCAATGGTTGCATCCGCGGTGTCTTTTCATAATAAACTTCCAACGTAGGTTTACTTATGCAACAAAAGTACTTGGCTTTTATGGAAGTTACACAACAAAAACTAAGGTTAAATAAGTCTACGTTGACTTGGTTTAACACGGGACACGAACAGCGGTGTCCTGGGTGAAAGTCCTGTTTGTGTCTTTGCACAACGTCACCTCCTCTAATAGTGACGTGGATGTTTTTAAACTGGAGTTAGTTGAAAGCTCCGTGCGTCTCATGCAAATGCTACACTATTAGAAATAGAGGCGCTAACTAGAACCATGTAGGGTTCTTTTCTTAGTTCCTGGTAGAACCTTTAGTAAAGGCGTTCAGGGAGTTCCACCTAGAACCCAGCATAAAGGGTCATGCTTAGAACTTTCTGTGAAAGGTTCCACTCAGAACCCGCTATGAGTCGTTCTACAGAGAACCCGTCTATGGTAACCTTTTCACCTTCTAATGATACCAACAAGAACCCTTTAATAGTCCAAGGGTGTTATCTCGAACCCTATAGGACCAGGGCTGATGTGGTGCTGCACAACCCACAACAGTCATGGTCCCCAATCAGTTTTTGGGGGGTTTGTGGGCGTTCCCTTTTAACATCCATACCATCAACAATCCTTGAAGAACCCTTTCTTACAAAAAGGGTTCTTTGGATGAAAAAGGTTCCTAAGAACCCCAAAGAACTAGAAGCTGAGTGCCACTGACTGACCGAGCGTCGGTATTGGACGACTTGGGAGAGAGAACAGTTTGCATTTCACACCTGAAAGTCGTGCAGCGAAATATTCACGAATTGGTTCTAGATGCTTGTTGCTAGCCAGCTGGCCAGCCGGCCAACATGCTAGCGCTAGTCGCTAATAGGATGCAATGCTTTGTCTCTCCGGCTTTCAAACAAATTATTTTGCTCCTTTAGTGAACCCACTTATTGCACATATCCCCTTAAAATAAATAGTATTGTAAATATAATTGCGGGGAGTTTTAACTGGAGCCAAGACAGTTTTAAGCGTCGGAGTAAAACAAACCATGACATTTCATTTCTGTTTAATCCAAGTCTGGTTCATGATCCTAATTGCGTCCGATTCATTTTTAATAGGGAGGTAAACACGGGGACGTTAGCTCGTATGCTAGCATTAGCCAAGCTAGTGCAGATTCTCCACCTTTAAGGCTGTTTTAGAGACGGGTGTGACACTAACATCACCTAAAATGTAATCTGGGTCCCATCTAGCATCTCCAAACAGGGCCGACGAAGCAAGTCTCACACATCGTTGTGCAAACAGGAAGACCGCGCGCCAACGGGATCTGCATCAGATTCCAATGTGAAATAGATTTAATTATCTCTCTGGGAATCGTTTGGTTTCACCAAAGCTTTTTCCAGAAGCACCGAACTCCGTCCGGCTTCAGAGTAATTGAACATATTTCACTCGTCTTTTTTTACCGTTAGGCAGTTCCATCAATGCGGCGGTTCAGCAAAAAGAGAGGGCGAGAGAGGGAGGCGGTCGACTCGTTTAACAGCTGTCACCTTCACATAAACGTTTTTTTATTTATTTTTTTTACCTTTAATAGTATAAAACGAGACATCTAACACACAAAATAAAGCTTATTTTAGAGAGAAATATAAGATCTCCTTCTGCAATACACCATCTATAAATGGAAACTTCATATTTAGGTTCGTTCCACTTCCTGCTGAAATGTATTTTGGAAAACCCTGTTCAGACATATTCATACCAAGTACAGTACAATGTGCTTTAAAAAGGTATACTTTGAGTTACTCTGCGAACCTTTCAGAGCCCACTGCCTCCACCTGTCGTACTCTCTTTTTCTCCATTGTGGCCTTTTTTGTACACAGCAAAAATACAGTTGGACATTATTGCGAAGGAGTTTTTTTTTTTTTTGTTCAAATAAGGCCAAAAAACAGATAAAAACAAAGAAGACAAGAGATTCTGCAAAGGAAGTCATTGGCAGAGCGGTGTAGCTGCTCCGCTAACAACTGCCTCCAAAAACACAACTGATTGTTTGCTGCTGCCAAGAAAAATACACTTCTACGTTTTTGATTTACACTCTAGAAAAACAAATAATACCAACGTCTCCTGAGCGCCATCTTCAGAGTTTTCTGTGTTCTTAGCTAGTCGACTATCCTTGTGGTTTATTTGGTAGAAAGCTTAAATTCGGAAGTGACTCCCTTGTTGCAGAAACTTATTTTATTTTTTTTGTGATTTGAGTGAGTCTCCTAGTTTTGAAACGACAGCCTTTATATGAACTCTCTCTCCCAAAAGCCAGCACACCTCCCACACATGTATATTAGCAGCATGCGATAGCTTAGTCACGGTACCTCTCTCTCTCTCTCTCTCTCTCTCTCTCTCTCTGAGGGAAAACTATCTCCTCAGATCATTTAAATGCAGATTGAGTGTCTGCAACAAATCCTCTGTACATCCCTCCGCCACTGTTACCGAGATGTTATTAACATTAGCTGGATTTAACTCACACGATGCCCTTTTCAGTGGGAAATGACTTCATCCTGATTGTGTGTGTGTGTGTGTCTGTGTGTGTGACGTTCAGACGTGACCTGAGGTTCCGTTAAAAGCGCGTCTCGCCTGCCGTTTCTATTTCACACCGCGTCACCTCGCCTCTCTCTCTCTTGCTTCTCATTAACCCCGCCGAAGCCTTCGGTGGGGGGGCCCCTGGGGGCCAGAGCAGCGCTGCTTCTAGAAGGCCGTGTGTGTGTGTGTGTGTGTGTGTGTGTGTGTGTGTGTGTGTGTGTGTGTGTGTGTGTGCAGCGGATATCCAGCTACTGCTGACGGGCTGCAAGCAGGGAAGTGAAAATGGAAGCCGGAGGAATTGAGACCATCTGATGCTCGTGTTTTACAGCATTATAATAGATTGTTTGTGTGCGTGTGGTTCATACAGGCTTTGGCCTTATTCCCTGAATACACGATTTATTCCTGACCGCGGGACTTAGTATAAACATGGACAATGTTTTTCATGGCGTTAGAGATTCGATAGAACCAGGGCTGCCCGCTCTTAGTCGACTAATCTGTGGTTTTGTTCTTAGTCGATCGAGGTTTAGTTGATCAAATGTTTGTAGCGACTGTAATCCACGTAATCATGAACCAGGAAGTGGTGAGACGGCCAAAAAAACGTAGTTATTTCAACCTAAACTACGATCTTTTCCTAAACTTAAATAGGTTTTGTTGTCTAAACCTAAGTTGTTTCCTGTTTATTTTGAAAAGATTGTATGCATCTATGCATGGTTTTGTGATTTTGTTTTTCATGCTAAATGACATAAGTGATTATTTTTAGAGAAACTCGGTTTTAAAGATCTGTCGATTACATCAACTAATCGATTGGTCGACTAAGAAAGTCTTTGTTCGAGGTTCAGCCCGAGATAAAGTAATGATTTTTGCAGAACTATGGCAAAATCCACGTACAACTTAAATAGAAGGTAGCCAACCAAAGTCCAGAAGAAAAGTGCTCTACTGAATAAAGATTGTGCTCAGCTCTAGCTATTAAATAACCAATGAGACGGTGGCGTTAGAATGCCGTCTCTACATTTAGAGCCGGCGACGCCTCATGCGGATGCAGATAAACGCCGAGGTCCCGTTAGCCTCTGAGAAACATCGGCTGCTCTCACCTCAGCCATGTCAGAAGGTCTGCTTTACCGGCACTCGTGGGGCCGTACATGTTCTTTTCTCATGCATAATTCCTGCTGCTGAGATACGAGGGATGTATAGAGCGACGCAGGATAGAAAGGACGGGGTCATGGCCGCGCTGCAGGAACTCAAGTGGATAATTACGGACTATCTGAGCCCGATCGAAGTCATTTTCTTTAGCTTTTTGACTTTTTCAGCGTTTTTGTCTTCGATTTACAGCGTTTTCTAACTGTTTTTAAATAAGGTAATGCAGATTTAAGCCGCAAATGTGAAAAATGAAGCCTCGCTATTTAATTCAACTCCTTTCTTTTCTTTTCCTTTTTTGCCTTGATTCAGTCTTGTTTGACATTAGCAACACTTTTGAAAACAACGCTCACGGCGGTCTCTCTTTCAAACCGAAAACTGGAAGCGATTTCAAAAATGTGCAGCTTTTCAAAAGAAACAAACAAAGAAAAGCTCTTCTAGGTCGCGCTGATAAACTACCGTTACCGGCCAAATTAGACGTACGTAATAATCTCATTTTGTTTGTCTCTTCCGGACTGAACGTTGGGGGAAAAAAGACTTAAAAATACCTTCATTCAGCATTCAATGAAAAGCTGGAATGTCCCTTTAAAGCACGTTCCTTATCTAGTCAGTGTAGAGAACAGCGTAGCCTACTTCCCCCCAGCAGCAGAGAGCATTCCCAGGGTAGCATTGCTCTGCAGTGGCGCTGTCCTTGGTGCTGAATTCAGCTCTCTCTCTCTCTGCCTCACATTCACCGGCTGGCTGAGAAACCCCTCCTCAGACAGGGGGAGCAGATTTGATTTCATCACACCAGTGTGGAAATCCCTCTCTAGGTATTTTCAAACTGGCGGTGGCTGCTCTGCACATTTGGGAGCCCTGGTAGATTCAGAGTTGAGTGTTTTGGGGAGGAGTCGTTTTCTCTCTGGATCGTGACACATTTTTATTGCCAATTGAAGGCGTCGGCGTGGGGGAGAACGAGCTAGCGATGCTAATGATGATTAGCAACCAACCCAATTTTAAATCTCGGCACATGAGGGTTAATTATCATTATAGGCTATAAACTCACTAATTACCTAACCTGCATCACATCAAGGGGGACGTCACCGTTAGAATTTAGTTTCAAAAGGAGGAAGTAGTCTCGTTCCCATCAGGAGAACAAAGATCGCTTGTTGAGAAATACTCAAGGTCATTCGTTGTGTATATTTAGCTCGTCGTATTTTTATCCACATCAGTGAAAGCACATCCAGCATTTTAAAGACTGTTTTTGCACCTTTTTGATTGCATAACCATGCGGCGCTGCCCAAAAAAGCTAATGTCCAACGGAGATTTGGGGACGTTTTTCCCCCTTTCCCGAATCCCGTCCGTCACATGTATGCTACTCTTGAGGCCTCGCTTCCTCTCTTCCACGTCGCTCTCAATAAAGGAGGTCAGTCTCCCACCATCATCAGGTTTTTCCAGTTGGTTTCACGCCACCTCCATCACCCTTTTCTCCAAAGATCTTCATTAGCTCTGTCTTTATTTATTTCTTTTTTTGTGTTCTCTTCTTCCCGTGGCTCCGCCGTGCGTCAGCCACCAGCCCTGATATGAAGAGTGGAAGAAAATCTCTTCCCTCCGCCACGACCTCTCACCTCCCCCCCTCCCGTTCCTCCCTCCTACAACCCCTCGACTCGGTGTTGAGCGTCACGCCAGACAGAAACCGACCTTTTCCCTGCTACACGTCGCTGGAGGTCCTGGGTCTGAGGGAGAGGTTGGACGGGACGCAACCGCAGCACGCCAACCACAGCGACTTCTGGATGTCCGGGTTTCGGAACGCATAGATGATGGGGTTGATCACGGAGCAGCAGGTGGCTGGGAGCACCGTGGCGTAGGTGTATATCGCGGGGTAGCTGGAGTCGGCCACGATGGAGTACATGGCGAACGGCAGCCAGCACGCCCCGAAGGCACACAGGATTGCCGACAGCGTGGAGACGCCTTTGGTGGTGGACATGGCGACGAACTGGTGCTGCACGGCGATCTGCTGCGCGTGGCGGAAGGCAATCTTGCAGATCTGCAGGTAGAGCTGCATCATCAGGGCGAAGACGAGCAGGAAGGTGACGGCGAGTGCCACGGCGTTGACTTTGGTGACGGGCCAGCAGACACTGCATGCGGACTCGTCGCGCAGGCAGTTCCAGCCGAGTGCCGGCAGCAGGCCAAGCGCCAGGCACGACACCCAGATGAGGACCACCATCACGTAGGTGAAGGTGACCGTCCGCTCGGTGTGATAGGTCAGGGCGTTGTACAGCGACAGGTAGCGGTCCACCGTGATGGCGAGGATGTTGAGGACGGATGCCGAGAAGGCGGAGATGAGCAGTGCGACCGACAGCAGCGTCACGTACTCCACCGAGCTGTCGACCAGGTAGGTGAAGACAAAGTTCAGGATCAGGCCGAGGCCGGCTAGGAGGTCCGCCGCGGCCAGCGAGCCGATCAGGACGAACATCGGCGCACGGAGTGTCGGCGTGTAGAACAGCACGGCGATCACCAGCGCGTTCTCGCAGGAAATGAGCGTGCCCGTCACGCAGAGCGCCACGTCCCACGGGTTCACCTCCTGGACGGCGACCGCGGTGGTCGCCGGCTGGAGGTCAGGGGTTAGGGTTCGCACAACGGGCTCGGAGGAGTTGGAGGGGTCCTCGCCGAGGATCCAGGAGGTGGAGGAGTCGAAAGAGTCGAGGGGGGAGGAGTAGTTGAGGCCGCTGCCGCCGCCGCTACTCATGGCTGCTACTGCCGCCAGGGAGAGAATCATAGCTGGAGTAAGGAGAGAGGGAGGGGGGAGGAAGGAGACGAGGGAGGTAGATGAAAGGGAAGTCAAGGAGGAGGAAGTTCAGAGGTGAAAGGAGGAGGTTTGTGATTGACGGAGGGAAGAAATGTGAGAGAGAGAAATTTAAAAAAGGATGGAAAGAGCGCGAGAAGAGGGGAGGAAGATTGAGGCGGAAACGAGCAGCGAGGAGGGAAGGAGGAGAGGAAACGAAGGAGGAAATTGCAGTCGGTAATGGGTGAGAGAACGGGGAAGTGTTAAAGGGGAGTAAGAAAAAGAGAAAGAAGGAGAAAATGAGAGAATGAAGGTTGTGCAAAGAAAAGAGGAAGAGGATATATCGAGGATATATCGTGAGTAAAGTGGGGAGGACGCGAAACAGGACGAGGGACAAGAGTCGAGGACAAAACAAAGGAAGGAAGAGAAGGAAAAGGAGATGAAGGGTGTTAACACAGAAAACTCCCTTTTTTGGATACAAAGGGCAAAACAGACATTCATTCATTCATTCATGAAAACAACTCTGCTCTCGAACCCAGTGGCACGCACGTCACCAGCAGCTCCCACGCACCACACGAACAGGTAATTAGCAGCAGCACAATAGCAGGTGTGGACACGCGCACAATGGGGGGAAAGTAATTCAGAAATGACAGTAATAATCCCTCCCATGTCGGTTCCGAAGCAACGTGACGGACCGAGATGCCTTCACACACACACACACACACACACACACGCACACACACACACACACACACACACACACACAATAAACAACGCAATTAAATTAAACAGAAGCTTAAATGTGCCGCCTCCTCACCTAAAAGATGCCGGAGACTGAAGATGTTCGATCTCCTCTCAGTCCAAACCATCATCAACACATTCTATTTATAGAGCATCTCTAAAAATGGTGCATGACGTCCTGGGGCACGGCGCGGCGGTATATAGCTGCCGTCCTATTCACCGGTGGCGTGTTATATGGGCGCGTGCCCAGACGCGCGTGCGCTTGCAACACGGAGCCCCCCCCCGTTAATTCAGATTTCTGATCCACATATGCTGCTGTACGCAGACACAAAAAAAGAAGGAAAAAAAAAATCCAGGCACGAGGCTAATTTTAGCTCAGCCAGCGGAGCTGCCAGCGCGCGCGCTCGCGCCAAAAAGCTCCATTCACAAAAAATAAAATGTATCCCCCACTCTCTCCCACCTCCCACCTCAACCTCCACCACACACACACACACACACTTCCTTCACTACCCGCCCCCTTTATTTTTCATCTCTTTCTTTCATGCACACGCGCACACACACACACACACACACACACACACAGACACAGTCAATGACTGCAAACGGCCGTGGAAGGTCAACACCAGCACCATCGCCACCACCAAAAGCCCTGCAGCTTGAGGGGGGGGGGGGCCTCACATCCCTGCGGTAACGGGAGCTCGTGCAGCCCCGGAGCATCCACTTTTATTTAAATTTTTTCAAGCAGCGCGTTCAGCGACCCTGCCACGAGCCGTCAGACTTTCAGCGCGTGTCTTTTTAGGAATAGAGAATAACAATAAATACCTGGATCTGTTTCATTCAGCTGCAGCAGTGCAGTCCCTGAGCCGGCGCGAGAGAGTGGGGGGGGAGGGATGGGAGACCACGCCACAGAGATAAAAAGAGAGAGAAAATTACCAGCTTCTTGTCTTCTTCTTCCTCTCTCTCTCGTCCTCTATCCTCCACTTTAAATGTATATATGTATTTTGAAATTTCTTCTTCTTCTTCTAGGGTTTCCCCCCCTCTCGTTCTCCCCGCGTGCTATATCCCTCGGTTGGCATGGTTATTAGCCTTCTGTCGGCAGCTCTCCGTCCTCGTGCTGCAATCCTCGGCCCCTCATTGGACGCGCGTCCAATGAGGGGACTGACGTAAGAAGTCTCCGCTCCTCCAGTCACCGTCATCGAGGTCGGTGTGTGAATCACGGAGAGAGGGAGAATTAATAAACGAATAAACCTCCGGTAAAGGAACCGTATGTTTTATTTTATTTTTATTTATGTCATTTTATTCTTTTAATTTCTTTTATTTTTTATTTAATTTTATTTATTTGCTTTTCTTTTCTTTTGTATTAGTCTACTGAGGTTAGATGCGAGTATGTGGGTGTATTTTCATCCCACCTCACACGCACGCACAAGGTCGGAGGACTTGATGTTGGATCAAACTGTGACACGCAGCTCGTGTCAGACTTTTTCCTCCCCCACCTGAAAGGTGAAGCTGACCCCTCCCCTTCCAAGCCCCCCCCCCCACAAAAAAAACAAACCCAGCCGTAAAGCATATTGCCTCAAAATGTCTGCAAGTGCGGTGTTTGCTTGTGGGTGCTGCAGCCGGTCCATCCAGCCACGCGGGTGGGGATGGAGGGTTATGCAATCTCGGAGCGCTGCTGGGTATCCCACTGCATTATTATACTCACTCGCGCGCGCACGCATAGCACCATACTGCACCGGCTGGGGGCCCATGTGTGTCGCCATGCGTGATGATATATATATATATTCGACGCCAGCTTGTTTTTCCGCAACCAATGAACAGAAGTGACCATATTTGGAATGCGGAGGAGTGACGTAGAGACACCGTATATACGTCTCTGGTAGAGACCTGTCAATCACCGTGTAGCCCCGCCCTAAAGCATCCCCTGCTTTATGGTCTGTTTGGGGCTGTATTGAAGAAGACTTGAAACGAGAGATTGAGCAGTCTAATCTCAGGTCATATATTTGCTATTAAATACGAGGTGCTGTAAAATATGTATTTGTTTTTGCATATGAAGTACGAAAATGCCAACAACCTGCTGTTATATATCTTAATCACACTTATTTAATAACCAGATTCAGAGGCCCTGAACACCAGTAGCTTGTTATATCTATTGGCACAGGGAGTTTGATGTTGTGCATTAATGCTTAATAAATATATTAGCGAATGCGTCACTATCAGAGTTTCAAACTCTCAAATATCAATATTGCTATCTGCCCTAAAAAATGCAGCATCTGTCAGGTTAAGACCTCCAATCCGCTGAGGAAGGTCATGTGATGCGACCGAAAGCTCCAGAACAGTGGACCTCGTGCTGAGAAGGCTTCGCTGAGGTAAAGACTGAACCTTTCATTTCAATACTTGATTCATGCTCATTCAATTAAAAAGAAAGAAAAGGGTCAAATATCAAAGTTGATACCCGGCTTAAACGTCGTGTATCATATTCTTATTAATCTTGTTCTGAATTTTAAAAAGACCGTCTCTGCTGTTCATGAACTGCTGCTCTGCTGGATATGATAATGTCTCCTCGTCCTCCTCCAGAGTCTTTTCTTTTTCCAGCTTAATGAGTGCGTGACACTCTGACACGAACCTCCCTTGTGTGGGAAAAAAATAGAAAAGGAAGACACAAGCTCTTATTTCTCTCTCTCTCTCTCTCTCTCTCTCGCTCTCGTTCTGTGTGTGCGTGTGTCTCTCTCTCACATCATCACACCTTTAGTGCAGGAAACTCCCGAGCCGGCCCACGCGCTCTGCACTCCGCCAACCTTTTCTTTTTCTTTCTTCAGCTCTCCTCATCTCTCTTTGGACATTGTTAAGCCCACACACGCCAAAGGATGACTGCAATAAGAAAAATAAGCTTTTGCTTTCTTTTGATGCACCACACACACACACACACACACACACACACACACACACACACACTCCAGTTGAAGCGTCCTCCTTATTCTGTATGAATCACCAATTAGAATCACATGATTAGAATACAGATGAAATGCAAGAGCGCGCATCTTCATTGACGCCCTCCACATGTCCGACTTCATTCATCTTTCCAGCAAAGCACTCTGGGTAACTGAGAGCCGTTACGTCATCTTGCTGTTTTGGTATGCTTTGTTTAGCAGAAAGCCGGGCCCGTCTCTCTCTCTCTCTCTCTCTCTCTCTCTCTCTCTCTCTCTCTCTCTCTCTCTCTCTCTCTCTCTCTCTCTCTCTCTCT